GTGTGTGTGTGTGTGTGTGTGTGTGTGTGTGTGTGTGTGTGTGTGTGTGAGAGAGAGAGAGAGAGAGAGAGAGAGAGAGAGAGAGAGAGAGAGGGTGCAGTTCGCCACGCCGCGCGAACTGACCTACGTCCTTTCTGGGCCGAGTGTGAACGGAGCTCTCGGACGTCTTCACGCATAACACCGCAGGCAGGGAGAGAGAGAGAGAGAGAGAGAGAGAGAGAGGGTGCACTTCGCCACGCCGCGCGAACTGACCTACTTCCTTTTTGGGCCGCGTGTGAACGGAACTGTCTGACGTCTTCACGCACAACACCGCAGGCACACACAGAGAGAGAGAGAGAGAGAGAGAGAGAGAGAGAAAGAGAGAGAGAGAGAGTGCGCTTCCGCACACCCGTTTGCGCGCTAGCTCGTACTCTGCTCTTCCGCCTATTGGTTTCTTGGCACCACCGACCAGAGTCTGAAAGGCGCGAAAACGGGCAGGCCGAAACGCACTCTCTCTCCCAGTCCAGACTGGAGATTACCGACGGCACTCGTTTCGTTTCTGGGCAGTGTCAAGGCCACACGGCTTAGGGTCAGATCCCACTACCCTGGATTATTCATTTTTCACCCTCGATTACGAATCGGTCAGAAAAGAACAATAGGGGCTAGTGGGATCTGGCCATTAGGCAAGTCGTGGTGGCTCAACTGGTAAGCTCTGGCTTTGTAAAAGAGAAGTAGTGGGTTCACCCCCAGCTGCTCCGCCGCGCATTCAGTTGGTGTTAGGTCGACAGCCCACGCAATTGCCCCCAAGCCTGCTGTAGCAGAGCAAAATGCCCCCCAAGCCTACAGTAGCACAGGACAGACGAGACGCTATGACACACGCGATACTTAGAGGAAGGTGGCTCAGTGTTTAGGGCACCCGTTGTCAAAAAAGCATTGCGGTATTGCGGGTTCAAGCAGGAGTTTACATAGCGCATGATCACGTGCACACTCGCCTGGGCTGACGCATGGTACTATTTACAGCCACTGCCTGCGCACCACCCAGGGGTCAGTCCATGGGTGTTGTATGCTGGTCTAGACTTCAGGTTGGTTGCTTCTTGTTGTTGGCGTTGGTCGCCCTGATGATCTCCCCCAGCCTGGATATTCACAAATTATATCCACTTCCCACTGTAGTGCATGTGGTAGATCCCTTCAGTTTCACACTGTGGGTCACAGGTTCGAGTCCGGTTCCGAACGTTGGGGAGGGCCTGTCCAGATAGGCCAGTCTCTACCACACACACACACACACACACACAGATACTATCCCAGATATTATCCACGGGCACAACCACGATACACAGTCTATCACATACCATACACGCACATAGATCAAGGCACACACACATGTACTACCATCTTCCCCCGAACATAACACATATGCGTTGTAAACGAATACAACACATACCATGCGTTGTATTCGTTTACAATGCATATGCGTTATGTTTGAGTGAACGAGACCAACTTTGCCTGTACAAGGGGGTCGGGTCCAGGCTGAGTAATCCAGCTGGGGCCCTCAGAGCCTTGGCAAAAAGGTAAAAGTAAAGTAGCCACGTACCTTTCCATGTTCTGGGTTGAGTTTCATTCCTTTCCCCTACTTGGGCCCTTGGTCCACTCCTCAGCAAATGTGCAAAATGTGAATGAATTTTCCGCTAGAACACGGACAAATACAACCCCATTTTTTTTTGTCTCGGTGACCACGGTAGTGCAACAAGAGTGAGTGGCTTTCTTATTTTTCCACTTTCTTGGCCACGCCACATTCTTGGCTGTCAGAAGCCCCACTTTCTTGAAAAAGCGCCTTCG